GGGGGGGCGGCCAGCGCCTGCTGTGGGACGTTTCCGTCCCTGCCGAGTGGGACCAGGGGAGTGTTCTCAGGCACCCCCGACCCTTCCTGTTCCCTCCATGGAGTAAACAGTGCCGCATCTGCTTCCTGCCTGCCGCTGCTGCTGCTGCGGCTGCCCTGTGGGGAGCTGGAACACAACAGAGTTGTTTTCTTCTTGCCTCGCAGGGAATCGCTGTGGGAAATGGCCTCTCCTCCTACGAGATCAATGACAACTCCCTGGTTTACTTTGCCTATTACCACGGCTTGCTGGGGACCGAGTAAGAGGAGGGGGAGTGCTGCAGCTAGATGCGCTGTCCCTGTGCGAGCAGGACGGGGTTGGCTGGGTTGGTGGTGTTCAGGACAAGGGAAGATCCTGGCCTGATTTGGGCCGGCAGCCGGGCTGTGGAGGTGGCCCCTCATCCTGGGCAGCTCACATGGGCACATTTGTTTGTGGGGCGTGCAGGGCAGGGGGCCGAACCACACACTGTGCGGCCACTGGGCAGGGAGCCTGCAGTGTGGCTGTGGCCATGGCCACTGGCTTTGTGTCGGTGTTGCCGTCTGGGCAGTGTGGTCCAATCCCCTGGTCTCTGCCTGCAGGCTGTGGAGGGACTTGCAGGCCTTCTGCTGCTCCCAAGGGAAGTGCAACTTCCATGACAACTCCAACCTGAACTGCACACTCAAGGTGAGGGGAGCCGGAGCCCCCGAGCGTGAGCCCAGCATCGTTGTCTGTGAGCAGCATCCACCCGCCCGGCCCTGGAGGGGCCCACGGTCCCTCAAGCGTCCTGCTGAGTCCCAAACCCTTCTTGCGGCTCATTGCAGATGGAGGAGATGATTCAGATCGTAGAGGAGTCTGGCCTCAACATCTACAACCTCTATGCCCCGTGCGATGGCGGTGTCCCTGGGAGCATGAGGTGAGAGTGGCCCCAGGGGAGGCGGGTCTCCGGGCACTGGCTTGCTTTGGTTTGCAGCGTGTGGGGTCCTGGCTGGGAGAGGGACATGGTGGGCTGGTCAGGGGGTCCCTCTGGGACAGGTGGGCTGTGTCTGGCTGCTGTCGAGGACTCCCCCAAGGAGGACCCTGAGCCCTTGTTCCTCCAGAGCTTTCAGCCTGTCCCCATGCTTGTTCTGGCTGCAGGTACGAGGGTGACTATCTCATCACACACGACCTGGGCAACTCCTTCATCCGGATGCCGATGAGGTTCTCCTGGCGGCAGGTGAGCCTGGGCACCCGTGCCACCAGGCTGCAAGCATCCTCTGCCTGGCCAGCGGTGCTGCCTGAGGGCAGGAGGGGGCAGAGAGTGGCTGCTCCCGTGGGGCAGCTCCACATGCTGCTGTGGCAGAGACTCTCCCAACTCTCTCCCAGAACCTGTTCCGGATGCCAGTAGCCCGGAAGAAGGTCCGGATGGACCCTCCCTGCACAAACTCCACGGCTCCCAGTATGTATCTGAACTCCCCGGAGGTGAGGAAGGCTCTCCACATCTCCCCCGACGTGCCGGAGTGGCAGGTGTGCAGGTGAGCAAGCTCCAGGTGGGGAAGGACCGCTGCGAGCC